GTCACTACGGTCACTACGCGAAAAAAAAAATCGAAAAAAAAACGTGCAAGAACTCTGAGGCTTCGACGTCGAACTCGAGGACGAAAGCTCGCCAAGAAAAAACCTGACCAAAGCGAGGTGGGGGAGGCGGGTAAAGACGCACACCTCCAACGCTGAGGTCCGGACAGCTGGTCCGAACCTCGAATCCCACTCCCAGCTACTTCCCAGAGTGAAGCAAAGAAGCTGCGGATAAAAGCTGTTTAGAGTTTAGGGTTTAGGGTTTAGGCAACGCTGCGACGTCAAGCTTGAAAACGTGCCATGCAACATGAAAACAAAAATCATGTCAAAATCAAGCAAACACTCCAGAAAATCATGCCAAAAAAAAAAATCATGCTAAAAATAGTCAAAATCCAAATGGGAAGAAAACGCTGTTATCATCACCGGTGAAATCGTTGTTGCTGACGCTTCTCCTAGATAAAGATGGGTAAGATCAAGGTCTTCCCCACCCCAGAGTACCGGAGCAAGCAACCCCACGACCCCGTGGTGCCCCAACTCCCCGCCACCGGAATTCTACTTGGCCCCAGCAAATCGGGCAAGACCGTGTCCCTGATATCCATGATTCTCGAGCAGTACCGCGGCTGTTTCGAGCGGATCTACCTGTTCAGCCCCAGCATCATGGTCGATGATGGCTGGAAACCCGTGAAGCAGTACATTGAGGAAACTATGAAAGTTAATACGGATCGCGAACAGGTCTACTTCGAGAACTGGGACGAGGCGGCCCTGCGGCGCATCATAGACCAGCAGCGGAAGATCACGCAGGTGTCCAAGCAGATGAAAATGAAACAGCTGTACCAGATCCTGATCCTGATCGACGACTTCGCTGACAGCCCCAACCTGCACAAGCGGACCGGTGACTCGGCGCTGGACACCCTTTTCGTGCGAGGCCGGCACTTTCAAATCTCCACCTGGGTCAGCACCCAGAAGCTGCGCCTCATCAGCAACGCCGTCAGGGTGAACGCTCAGTTCTTCATGATCTGGCGCCTGCGGAACCAACTGGAGAAAGACAGCCTTTTAGAAGAGCTCACGGCCCTAGTCCCCAAGAAGCAACTGGAGGCCATGTACGAAGAGGCCGTAAGGGAGCCCTACAGCTTCCTATACATCTACCTGCTCAAACAACGAGATGAAATGTTCCACATAAGGTTTGAAAAGCGCTTTCAACTCGATGGGCGGCCTCCTGTCAGCAACAATGAACAAGCTGCTGGGGAGCAGCACACTCTTCCAAAGTGAGTGTCGCAACGTCAACTGCTGCACAGGTCTCCCCAGGGTCTACGATCCCACCAGGCCTCCCTGGATGCAACAGCCGCCGCGGTCCTGCTGCCCGCCGCTTCAGCCCAGAACAGGAGCGGACAATTCAGACGATTCCATGCTGCCTGGATGGAGGGCGCAGCGGGCCGCCTACAAGAAACTCAAGCTCATGACCAGTATCTGGGTGGACAGCAGAAAAAGAGTCGCAGGTACAGACGCCGATTTCGAGTTTGACATCGGGCAGACCGTTCACCTCCAGAACTCGGCACGCCTGTCAGTGTTCAAGATCAGGGTGGCTGACACCTTCCTGTCCACTGACCGAGGCGTTTACCTGTACTGGAAAGATCAGGCCCTGGGCACCCTGAACTGGGCTCAGCTTCCGGTGGGAGCCTACACAGGAACTCGGCTAGCGGCCTGGATCAGCAGCAACTTCGCCACTGCCAGCTACGTGGAAGCCACAAACGAGATCGGCGTAGCCTACGATGGGAACCGAACCAGCCTCAACGACCAGGAGCTTCGCAACGGATTCCCCAACTCTGGTGATTACCCCGCCGGCGCTCGACCCTCCGACCCACAAAGCATCAACCATCTCCTGGGGCCTGGCTTCATCGATGGGTCCCTTCAGATTTTCACATTCGTTCAGATGATGCCCTACAGCGAGCTCTACCTCCGCTGCAGCAGCCTGGCCAACGCTGCCGACACCGTTGGGCCCCTGGGACACGACATCATCGCAAAGATCATCTGCAATCGAGGCGTTGGCTACATCATGGAGAGTAGCACTGATGAGAACCATCAGGTCACGATCCGCGGGCCCATCACGCTGCGGTACTTACGTTTTCGGCTCACGGATATCGATAACAGAGTCGTTAACCTTCGAGGAACCAGCATCAGCTTCTGTATATTTTTCGATGGCTGAGCAGTTGGTCGGATGACCACGGATTAAACGGCATGCAAGAAAAAGAAAAACAAAAACAATGTCCGAACCCGAAACCCCTCTGGAAGCGGCTCCTGAGCCTGCTACAGCTCCGGAGCCCGAGCCCCAGCCCGAGCCCGTGCCCGTTCCAGCGGCTGCTAAGCCCGAGGACAAGGCGCCAGATGAGGCTCCAAAGAAGAAGCGAGGCCGCCCGCCGGGCAGCAAAAACAAACCCAAGTCTGAACCCAAGCCCGAAGCGCCGCCCACCGTCCCCGCGGCAGCTGCTGCTGTTCCCACCCCTGTGGTCGATGTTCCCGCACCCGCCGTAGAAGAAGCCCCTGTGGTAGAAGAGCCGCCGCCCACCCCAGCCATGATGAGAGCCATGCGGCAAGCTGCGAGAACGGACCGTTACGAGCAACTCCTCGCTCGAAACACGATGGAGTTCTAAGGAAAGCAAAGGACAATGATGAACCTCGAAGCAAGGAACGAGCCGCAGATGCTGCGGCAGTTCTGGAAGAAGTACCCCTCCTATAACCTTAATGCGCTGATGCGACAGAGGTATGAGGAGCTTTTAGACGCAAAAGCTTTTCATGAGTGGCTCCAGAATCGCCAGCTGAAGCAGCAGGGCGAGGAGTACGTCGACGCCATGGGCAGGATGGCTGAAGCCGTCAATCGAAGAGCGCCGCAGCTGCGGTGGGCTGGTGCCGAGCGAGTGCAGGTCCAAAGGGCGAGCCGACAGCTCATGGAGAACGCCGTTCGTCTCTAGGTAAAGATGGAAGAGCGACGCACCCTTGGTTTTCGCCAGCGACCTCGCTTCTCAGAGGTCCTGCAGTACATCGAAGAGGGCGAGCCTCTGGGTGTGCCCCTGCCCAAGCGAAACGCCAGCATCTACACCTCAAGTCACTTCTACTTGAATCCGCTGATGATGGCTATCAAGGCAGACCTTTCCCACAGATGAGGCGCCCCGCTTTCCTCCCCGACACAGACACTGAAGACGAGGCTTATCGAAGGGATGGTTTCGATCCACCCAGGCCTCCCGACCCAGGCCAGCCCAGCAGCAGCTTCAGCGGTCGGGCTGCCGAGGCTGTCGCTGCTGGAGCCGCGAGCATCATCGCTTCGGGCGCTAGCGGCGTGGGCCTGGCTGCGAGGGATTTCGGCTTCAGGAATGCCACCAGGGCGGCGAACGCTGTGGAGCAGCGGGTATTCCCGCAGATCCTCGGCCGCCCCACAGATGCGCAGCGTGTCATCGAGCAAGCCGGGCAGAGAGCACAAGAAGTTCAACGGGCCGCGGCTCAGGACATCGAGCAGTTTGCTGCTGAACAAGCTGCCGCTGAAACGGGTGAGATCACGCCTCTGCTGGCTGAAACGGGTGCCGCAGCAGCAGGCGAAGCCGCGGGCGCGGGGGCCTTGGAAGTTTTGGGCGGTGCTGTTGGCGCGGTACTGGCGCCTGAAGTTGCGATTCCCGCTGCTATCGGACTGGCTGCGGGCGCAGGTGGTGCTTTGGCCGCTCGATCAGAGGCTGGCACTCAAACGGAGCCTCCCAGAGGCAGTGGGATAGCGGCCCTTGCAGGTGGAGCAGTGGAAGGAGCTAGAGCCGGTGCTTCCGCCTTCCCGGCAGCCCGCAACGTTGGCAGAGCTGGAGGGGCCGCGGTGGGCGGGCTTGGCGCAGCAACGTTGGGTCTGGGGCTCGGTGCCGTGGGCGGCGCCTATGAAGGCGCAAGATTTGTGTTGGGAGGCAACGGGGGCGACGCCGTCCAATCATCGTCATCAGATGCGCCCGATGTAAGGACGCTCAACAACATGCAACAAGGCAACCCACAGGAACGCATCAGCCTGAGGCAGCCGCGGGTCCAGCAGCCGATGGTGTCCAGAATGGATGCAGATTCAGACGATGCGCCTCTGGCCCAACAGCAAAGTCAGCCCAGACCACAGGTGAGTTCCCGGCCCATCCAGAGGCCCTTCGGCCTGGGCGGCGGGTCCTTGCCCCAGCAGAGCAGCGGAAGCGATTCCAGCAGCCGAGCAAGGCCGCAAAGGCCTGCGAGACTGGAGCCCTCTTTCAATGAGCTTCGCCGAGAGGCCTTGGCAAGGGACCCCGAACTAGCCTGATCTCGTAGGACGAACGAACAAAGCGGGCGACGCATTGCTAAGAAAGCAAAGACTCATGGAGGTTGTCACCAATGCCGTCAACGATGATCTCCTTCAAAGCCTCGACTACAAGATGAAAACGTCTAACGCTTCCTATGTAATAAGTCGAAAAGACGTTCAATACTTTCCGAGCTCCTTGAGCACCATCACGCCCACGACCTCTCGAGTGGTTCGCGTGCCCCTGACCTCAGGCTCCGACTTCATCGATCCTGAGTCCATCAAACTGGCCTTCAGATTCGTGAACAACGATGGCAGCAACGATTACCACCCCATCATGGGACACCCCGCCTGCCTGATCAAGAGGATCCAGCTCTTCGCCAACGGCCAGCGAACGGACGACATAGACAACTACGGCAGAACAGTGCACTTGCTGAAGCCGCGCGAGTGGTGGATTAACCAGGCCAACGAGGGCTTCGAAGTCAACGAGATCGGTGGCTTCCCCCAGCCGCTGCCCGAGTCACATTTCCAAGAGGTGCTTATGGCGCCTACCCTCGTCGGGCTCTTGGGCTGCGGCAAGATGCTGCCGCCCCAACTGAACCTGGTGCTGGAGATCGAGTTTGCCGACGCCGCCGACACCATTCGCGGGGGCCAGAGCAGCTCCGTGGACTTCAGCATCCAAAACGTTCGGGTTTTGGCCTCGCAGGTCACCCTCGACAGCGCCCTGGTGGAAAGCTTTAACCGAGTGCTTTTGTCGGGTCGCAGCCTCGTATTCTCCTATCCGACGGTTCACACGCAGGTGACCAGCGTGCCTGCTGGGTCCACGGAATTCAACGTTACGGTTGCTCGTGCATACACAAAGCTATTGGGTGCCTTCGTAACCTTCCGGGCGACAGGCGCGCAGGAGGGCATCACGGACCTGGAGCACCCCGGCAATCAGGTGAACGGCACCTCATTCCTGGAATCGCAGATGCAGATCGGCTCGCTGCAGTACCCCCATTACCCCGCAAAGGACTTCGCGGAGCACCACCACTTCCTGCAGGTCATGGCCGGCACCTACGACTCCACCTTTCGAAACATGCGCCTGACAAAGAACATGTACGAGGGTAGCAGCTTCATCGCCGCTTATCCAGTTGAACGGGTCCCGCGCATGCCCCTCAGCGGCATCAGTACCAGGGCGGGCGATCTGGCGCGCTTCACCTTCAAGGGCCTGCAAGCCAACAAGGTGCAGGAATGCTATGTGCACATGGTGAGCTACCAGGTCGTGACACTCTCAGGCAGCGGCGTGTCGGTCCTCGACTAGCGTCGCTCCTTCAAAGGAAAACCTATAATGTCCCTTTTCGAAAGCTCCATCACCGGGAATATCTTGAATGACGGCAACACAACAGAGACCACAGGCATCTCCGCAGGGCAGCTGGCTACGGTTTTGACGGCTTACACGCCCCTGACCGATACTGCGACCAACACCGCCTCCATTTCAGCCAACTCAACGGGCGTGGCCAACAATGCGGCTGCCATCACGGCGCTGCAAACGCAAATCGCAGGTTTCCCGCCTTATGCCCTGGCTTCCGACTTGGCCGCAGCCGAGGGGCTCATAGCCGCCAACGCAAGCGGCATCGTGGCGGTGAACACCAGCCTCACCCTGGGCCTGGCCGGCAAAGCCAATCAATCCGCCCTGGACGCCCTTCAAGTTGAGGTTATAACGGCAAGAGCACGCCTGCTTCAGTGGACCTAAAGCTCGCAAACCACCCGACCACGGCTGCGATGAACAGCAGCATCGCTTCTGCCAACAATGCCACGCTCGCCCAAATAGCTACCACCTACGCGCTCAAGACGGTCGTGGACCAGCTGGCCATCGACGTGGCTGCTCGGCAAACCGCCGCCGACGTCGATCAACGGGTTGCCACGGCCCTGTTGTTCTACGTCACCCAGACCGCTTACAATGCAGGACAGGCTCTCCAGGACTCCCGCCTAGACGGCCACGAGGCTGACATTCTAGCCCTGCAGAACGCTAGGCCCTACGCCA